GGGGTGGAGGGTGGGCACAAGGGGTGAAGGGAGTCATATATATGGTGATGGACAAACAAAAATGTACAACCCAAAATTTCACAATGTTAGAAACCATTAAAACATCAATAAAAAAAAAAAAAAACTCTCAGCAGAGGCCAGCCCAGTGGCATAGCAGCTAAGTGAGCGCACTCCACTGAGGTGGCCCAGGGTTTGGATCCCTGGCATGCACCAACGCACCACTTGTCAAGCCATGCTGTGGCAGGCGTTCCACACAAAGTAGAGGAAGATGGGCACAGATGTTAGCCCAGTGCCAGTCTTCCTCAGCAAAAAGTGGAGGATTGGCAACAGATGTTAGCTCAGGGCTAATCTTCTTCACCAAAAAAAAACCTGTCAGAAAACTAGGATTAGAAGAAAATTACCTCAACATAATAAAGGTCATGTATGACAAGCTCACAGATAACACCATACTCAACAACTGAACAACTTCATTCTTTAACAACTCAACAAGTGAGCAACTGAAAACATTTCTCTAAGACTGCAAACAAGAAGGGGTTCCCACTCCCACCACTTCTATTCAACATAGTACTGGAAGTCCTAGCCAGAGCAATTAGGCAAAAAAAAAGGAAATAAAAGGCATCCAAATCAGGAAGGAAGAAGTAAAAGTTTCTCTGTATTCAGATGACATGATCTTACAGGTATAAATCACTAAGGACTCCAACAAAAAAAAGAATTATGCCTTTTATAACTAATAAACAATTAAGTAAAATAACAGGATACAAAATCAACATGTAAAATTCTGTTGCATTTCTATACACTAACAACAAATTATTCCACATGGAAACTAAGAAAACAATCCCATTTACCATAGCATCAAAAAGAAAGCAATACTTAGTAATAAGCTTAACTAAAAAGATGAAAGACTTGTAAATTGAAAACTACAAAGCATTGGTGAAAGAAAGTAAAAAGGACACAAATAAATGGAAAGATATCCCATGTTCATAGATTATAAGACTCAATATTGTCAAGATGTCCATACTACTCAATGCTATCTACAGAATCAATACAATCCATATCAAAATCTCAATGGCATTTTTCACAAAAATAGAAAAAACAATTCTAAAATTCACATGAAACCACAAAATACCCAAAGAGCCAAAGCAATCCTAAGAAAGGAGAATAATAGAGGCCTCCCACTTCCTAGTTTCAAACTATATTGTAAAGCTATAGTAATTAAAACAGCATGGTAATGGCTCAGAGACATATAGACAAATGGAAAAGAATAGAGAGCCCAGCAATAAACCAAAGCATATACATTTGATCAAAAGATCTTTAACAAGGGTGCCAAGAATATAGAATGGAGAAAGGATAGTCTCTTCAATAAATGGTGCTGGGAAAACTGGATATCCACATGCAAAATAATGAAATTGGACCCTTATATTACACCATGCACAAATATCGACTGAAATGTATTAAAGACTTTAATATGAGACCTGAAACTGTAAAACTCATGGAAGAAAACATAGCAGAAGAGGTTCATGACGTTGGACTGGGCAGTCATTTCTTGGATACGATACCAAAAGCACAGGCAGCAAAAGCAAAAATAGACAAATGGTACGACGTCAAACTAAAAAGCTTCTGTACAACAAAGGAAACAATTGAGATAGTGAAAAGGCAAGCAATAGAATGGGAGAAAATATTTGCAATCCATATATTTGACAAAGGGTTAATATCCAAAATAAAAAGAATTTGTACAACTCAACAGTAAAAATAGCCCAATTTTAAAAATAGGGAAAAGACGTAAATAGACATTTCTCCAAAGAAGACATACAAATGGTCAACAAGTATATGAAAAGATGCTCAATATCATTAATCATAAGGAAATGCAAACCAAAACTAGAGTAAGATATGACTTCACACCTGTTGGAATGGCTATTACCAAAAAGACAAGAAATAACAAGTTTTGGCAAGGATGTGGAGAAAATGGAACCCTATGCACTATTGGTGGGAATGTAAATTGGTACAGCCCCTATGGAAAACAATACGAAGGTTTCTCAAAAAATTAAAAATAGAACTACCATATGATTCAGTAGTCCCACTTCTGGCTGTTTATCCAGAAGGATTGAAATCAGAATATCAAGGAATTATTTGCACTGCTATGTTCATTTCAGCATTCTTCAAAATAGCCAAGACGTGGAAACAACTTATATGTCCATCATGTAAGAATGGATTAAAAAATGTGGTATATACATACATGGAATATTATTCAGCCTTAAAAAATGAGAAAATCCTGCCAGTTGTGACAACATGGATGAGCCTTGAAGTCATTGTTCTGTGACTTCAATAAGTCTGTGATAGAAGGACAAATACTGCATAATTCCACTTAGGTGAGGTATATAAAACAGTGAAACTCACAAAAGCAAAGAATAAAATAGTAGTTTCCAGGAGCTTGGGGAAGGGAGAATGAGCAGTAATTGTTTCGTCAACATGGAGTTTCAGTTTGGGAAGATGCAAAAGTTCTGGAGATGATTGGTGATGTTTTCACAAGAATGTGAATGTACTTAATGATACTGAACTGTACACTTAAAAGTGGTTAAAATGGTAAATTTTATGTTATGCATATTTTATCATGATAAGAAAAATACCAAGGAAGAGGGAAAGATTATGAGTGAAGTGGAAGCAAACAGAGAAGCAAAATTTTTAACTATTGAATATAGAGCTTAGGGCATGGCTTCTCTTTCTGGTTCCGGACTTCAGAAGCGTGTCATTTTGGTTCAAAGGTAAAGGTTGATGACAAAGAAGGGTGATTCTGTGCAGGGTTCCAGCCAGCTCTTCGTCACCTCAGAAGTTGAGAGAGAAAAGATTATAGTGAAGCCTCCTTTCTATAGTGTTTCTATTCTCTACCTCTGGATGTCTTTTTACATGAGTGCTTAGCTGAGCCTGATTTTCTCAATGGCTACTGTGTAAAAGTGTAGTACTTTACTGTAAATCTCTATGATTCTTTCTCTGTGGTGTAGAGAGAAAAACTATATTCCCCTGAATACATCATAAGATTCTGTCATCTAGGAGCTCATCCCAAAGGAAGTTGCTATGTCTATGACCTAGCATATTTATTCAAACTTTGGTAGCTGGGAATCCTGCCTTCTAAGTCTCCTCAGTCAGTAACTAACAAAAATGTCACAATCTCCCAGGGTGATCTGGCACATAACCTTGAAGTCTAGCATTTCCATTCTCAGGGTAACCATATCATTTAGAAATGTCATGTTTTCAGAGAGAAATACATTCTCAGAACTCTAACCTATGCCTAAAACCACCCCATATCCTATGCCAGGCTCACCATTGCCAAAATGAACAACAAAGCCTTATAAGGAAGCTTTCCAACTTACCTTACCCAAGTCTCATCCTAAACCACAGCCAGAGACATATGTTTAACCAAAGCTCAACTGCAATTCTAAAACTGGCCTCTAATGATGTTTGTGGGTGCCAAGTGGGAGTAAATGAAAGACCTTGGCTGATGCTTCAGCAAAGACTCCAACAGGGCCAACTACCATTCCCCTGAGGACTTGTGAGGTCAACGCATTACCAAATCCTGCACTTTGTGAAAGTCTATTTAAACAATTCTCTGGAGTCAATGAAGAAAAATCACAAAGAAAGACCTTTAAGTAAATGACAGCAACAGAGCCGTGTACCAACAAGCTGAAGATCTGTTTGGGAGACACTGTTCCCAAGCTTAGTTGGTTAGAAGGAGGGTTTAAATCAGGAATAAAAGGAATCCACAATCAACTAGATCCAGGTCAGTGATAATTAAATTTTCCCCCCAATTTTAAGCAGATTAATTTAATTTACCCAATCTATTTTCACTGAAATCATTTTTGTAGTTAGAATGTGTGAATTAAAGGTTAATCGTTTTCTCTAAAAATGAATTTGGACACAATGACATGAAAATGTCAACAGAAAACACTATCTGTAATGTTGCCAGACAAGACACTGTTGAGAGCTACTCAAGTCACTTTTACAACATTGTGATTAACATTTATGTCTCACTGAGTAGGTTGATTCGGTAGATTTCTGTTTGTACAGATTTGAAATTCTTTCCCCTTTTCATGACTTCCATGTTGTCACATTGAAGTTAGAATTTGTGAATTAAATCTATTAAGAATGATTAAGCACATAGTCACCATCTGTAAAAGCTGTGGGTAGAGAAGAAACAAGTCCTAGACTGAGATTTCCTGAAAACTAAAGATGTCTTTTCTCACCTTTATCAAAGCTGAGAAGTCATGATGCTGACTTCTGTATTCAGAAATTTTTAAGGAAAAATATATGGTTATGTTTTTTGGCAGGGACTGGGAAAAAAGACAAAAAGGGAGAAGAATAAAATGTCTTATGATCTTTTGTAACTACAACATGTATTCACTCTTGAAAGTCTATGTACAGATCCTTCCAAAAAGATTTATTCTTGTATATATTCATTATTTCCACCATTAACAATGAAAACAGCAAATTCATATTAATTGATTAAACTTATGCCAAAAGGGAAAATCGTATTATCTTAGATGACGCTAACATTTCTGTCTTGTCAATAGGAAACTCAGAGAAACTTCATTACTCGTTTAATCCCATTTGTAAAATATGAGTAGGTATATCTACTCCAGAGCATTATCCTATATGTGATGAAAGACCAATTGCACAGAAAATTCACTTAGGAAATATTGAGAACTTTTCAGGGAAATTTACACCACTGACATGTCCACATTCAAAGGTGTGGAAAGAGTGAGCATGAAAGAGTCATGTAGAGCCAGACACAAAATCCGGGGCTTTTGAGTGAGTGCTGCTCAATGAGCTCTTATACAGATAGTTCCTCGGCATTTTGAAAGGAAAAAACTCCATCTGCGGATCTGTCCCTGTGCGTGCATGTGCATTCATTGGACAGAAAGGAATTATAGCTCATAGAACACAGATGGTATAAATATAGTAAGGCTTGGCACTTTCATGTCTTATACACAGCTGACTTTTAAAAGAAAATTGTGTTCAGGGGCTGGCCCAGTCCCGCAGTGGTTAAGTTCGCACACTCCACTTCGGCAGCCCAGGGTTCGCTGGTACGGATCCTGGATGCGGACCTATGTACTGCTCATCAAGCCACGCTAAGGTGGTGTCCTACATAGAGGAACTAGACGGACGTACAATTATGACATACAACTATCTACCAGGGCTTCGGGGAGACAAAAGGAAAAAAGGAGTAAGACTGGCAACAGACATTAGCTCAGGGCCAATCTTCCTCAAAATAAAAAAAGAAAGAAGACGCTATCACCTTATTAAAAAAAAAGAATATTATGTTCATATACCTGTAAACATTCATGTCAATAGACAAATATAACTTCAAAATAATTATTGATGAAATTTGTCCCAAAAAGTGACAGATAGCCACCTGGGAAATTATAGAGCCAGCAAGTTTAGAAGTCAACTGTAAGTCAACATTCATAATAACACCTTGCTTGTATTTTGGTGTTTGTAAGGTATTGTCACTATTCAATTAATATGAATAAAGAGAAATTTAATCTTGCTCCATTCTTCTTTACAACTATCTGCAAAATGGCAGAGGTGAGTGCAAGGTGTAGCTCCATCAAACCCAGAGTCCGGGACTAAAATGATGATGGAATATTTTAGTATTGAATTTCAAATATCATCACTCAGAAATATTGTGATCTTTCCAGATGGGCCACATGCACACAACCCAAGCTGAATTGACAGAAAAGATGAGCAATGTGACAGAATTCATCTTGCTGGGTCTGACACAGAAGCCAGAACTGCAGAAACTCTTATTTGCAGTGTTTTTAGTCACCTACTTGATCACATTGGCAGGTAACCTGTTCATCTCGGTCACCATCTTCATCAGCCCAGCCCTGGGGTCTCCTATGTACTTTTTTCTGTCCTCTTTGTCCATTGTAGATGGTTTCTACTCTTCTTCCATAGCACCCAAAATGATCTTTGATTTGATCTCTGAAAAGAACACCATATCCTTCAATGGCTGCATGACTCAGCTCTTTGCTGAACATTTCTTTGCTGGAACTGAGATCATCTTGTTAATTATCATGGCCTATGACCGCTACGTAGCCATCTGCAAGCCCTTGCACTATATGACCATCATGAGCAAACCTGTGTGTGGTTTCCTGGTGGGAATGGCTGGGGTTTTAGGGTTTCTTCACGGGGGGATGCAGATTTTGTTCCTGGTCCGGTTGCCATTCTGTGGCCCCAATGTCATTGACCATTTTATGTGTGATTTAATTCCCGTCCTGGAGCTGGCCTGCACAGACACTCACACTTTGGGGCCCCTGATTGCTGCCAACAGTGGGTCACTGTGTTTGCTCATTTTTTCTATGCTGGTTGTTTCCTATGTCATCATACTGCACTCTCTGAGGATTCATAGCTCTGAAGGGCGTCGCAAAGCCCTGTCTACATGTGCCTCTCATGTAACTGTTGTCATCTTATTCTTTGCACCTTGCTCATTCCTGTACCTAAGACCCATGACCTCCTTCCCCACTGACAAAGCTGTGACTGTGTTTTGCACCATAGTAACTCCTATGTTGAACCCTTTGATTTATACCCTCAGAAATACAGAAGTGAAAAATGTCATGAAGAAACTCTGGAGGCAAACAATAAAAACTGGAGATAAATAAATCTTGTGATTTTAGTATTTAGGCAAAAAAATCTAGTGATATTTTAGAGAGATTTATTCCCTGTCCTGGTTGATTAAACGTGGGACAATTATCCTACCCAGATCAATTTTCTTCAGGAGCCCACACATTGTGGGCAGGGCTAACATATCCATTAGGGCACAGTAGGCACAGTGCCCAGAGCCCACGATCATTATAGGAGCCCTTGAAATGTGTTAATTTCTTTTAAAATAAGAAAAAAAATGAATATAATCCATATCCAACTTGGAGTATAGTCATCTTTATACCAATGCAGTCACAAAATACAATTTTTAATATTTTTGTGGAGGAAAGGACCCACGAGGACAAATGTAGCAAAGGCCCACAAAAGTCATAACATTGCCCTGATTGTGGGTATGAAACAGATCAAGAGTAATATTCTTAAACACTCTTTGTACCCAGCACTACAGCTAGAATGAAGTTTTATTTTAAAAGAGGAAAAAACAACTATGTACAGAAAAAGAGTAGAACAGTAGGGAAAGAGGCTTCAAAAATTACTTTTATCAAAACCTACGTTTTCTTATCTACTTAAGTTTGAGGTTTATAAATGTTATCCCATCACAACAATAATTTTTTTTTTTTTTACTTATCACAATCTGAAGAAGAGAAAATTTGCATGCTAAGGTACTTTTAAAAAATTACATCTCCACCATTCCCGGTAGCATACAATTGTCCAGAGAAAGAATTAGAATCAGAATTGGCTGGTACAAAAGAAATATAATTGAGAAAGTCTGTAGAGCTAAGGCACAAAATATCTGTACATTAAAGTCTTGTTTTAGACACCGATAAATGAAAAGAAGACTCTGAAAACAAAGAGCTATTATAGGAAATTACCAGTGATATAAAAACAAGTTTGTGTCATGGAATTGGACAATGATCACACATCTGGATTGTAGAAAAGAATCTATATCATGAACAAGGGAAATTCTAAGAGCTTCAGAAATAGAAGGTTTGAAGTCAGAGATAAAGAGCTTTGGATCAGTCTTGATTTCTCATCTTGTCTCCAGTTTTAATTACCCTTGTAAATGTAAGCAAGTTGCTTCACCTCTCTACCTGTTTGTTTCATGTGTGAAAGGGAAATAACATTACATACTTCCTTAAGTCGTAAGAGTTACACAATTTAAATTGAATAAAATGAGTTTGCTGAAATATAGCAAAAATTGCTCAGATGCTGTACTGCCATCAGAGATGTCACCAGCGCATGAGGTGTGCTGGAGACTGCAGTTCCTGAGAGAGGAGCCCAAGAACACCACTACTGTCTTTCACTAACCATGATCACAGGAGGACCAAACATCTAACCCAGCCTCACTTCACTTCAAAATATGTCATAAATGCCACCCACTTACAAGTATCGACAGCATAATGGTGAGTAATTACCTCAGCAAGGAAACTTAATGGGGACACTGATCAGGTCTTCAGACACTAAGAGCTAGCCCATCACCAGCTTTCTATTCTGGGATTAAAATGCCCTTAAATATCTCTGCAGTTACAAATGGGAGAGCTGGTTGGAGCAACTGTGAGATGCCTAAATAGAACTAATTTCAAAAGCTCTCACTCATGATGGATTTTGTCCAGTCCTCTGGAAGAAGGAGGAGAAGGGAGAGCCCAGTGCCAGAGACCGAAAGACCTTCCTCTGTACAGATCATGTGATTCCTGGGGGAGAGCTCAGAAACTTGTTTTCAGGAGGAGATTTCTCACCCAGTGATTTGAATATCATGTGATGCTGGCATTTCTCATGTTCTCAGAACTTTATATCAGGTTAGACCTCACCATATAAAGGCCTTTGTAAAATAGATGTTTTGCCATAAATGCCTGTGTGTGACCATCTTGTAAACATATGCAGGCAACAGTATACTTAAAAAATCAAATTTATGTTTTAAAGACCAAGTTGTAATTTCCAAGAAGGATGGAATGAAATAGGATAATGTAAAAATAAGGATGATGATGAGGAGAAGGAGGAGGCTAGCTAATGTTAACTGAGCACTTTCTGTGAATAAAGTCTTGACCTAAGCACTCACTTCATATGTTTTGGAGGCAGCTGATTTCTGACCCTAATTTCTTTCTGTCCTTAATTTATTTGAAGCCTCAAACTATGGAACTTTCCTCTGTCTAAAACATTTCTTTATTTGGACATAATGGTGACCCTACCAATAGCAGGGTGTGAGCATCAATAAAACAATTATAGTGTAAATAATTATGACAGCTTTTTTTATTTGAGTGTTTACTATGTGCAAAGTGCTTTATATTCTTTCTGTTATTTAATTCTCACTACAGCAGTAATATGGATATTCCCATTTCATAAATTAGGAAAACAAGGGATGGAGAGGTTAATTACATTGTTAAAAATCAATTAGCTAACATTTGGCTGAATCAGAATTCAAATCTGAGCCTGTCTGACCTAAACATTTGTGCTTTATGAAACCCATTTTGCATCCCCTTATTATAGACAGACAAAAAGTTAAATTTCTTACATTTCTCTCTAATCTTTGGAATTCTCTTCTTGAAACCCTTTGGCCTTCATTGTCTAAACGAATTTGAAGGGGGACTTTTTCATAGATAGTCCAGGCTGAACATGTATGAGTCTGCAAAGAACCAGCTATTGACCAGTTGGTAATTTTTAACTCCACGAATGTTTTGAGTTCCACATAACAGGGAATTTCTTTGAAATTGTTGTCTTCTCCATCTACACTAGTTTGTACATAAAGAAGTAGCCTGTGGTGTATATAGTACTACTTCACTCTGATAAATATAGAAAAATGTTAGCAAATATGCTTGTTATGAATGTGTGTTCATCCTATGGTTGTCCATTAAAACAAAACAAAACAAGACAACTCCACTTGAGGGAGGGGAGTTCAAGACAAGTGAAAAACTATTTTTTTAAGTAGCTCTCCAGTAGCCATATAACAATGAGCTGCAGAATAAGAATCTCAAATACAAGTCTTCTCTTTTTACTCTGTAAGCATATTTTCAACAGTATTTAAAATTCAGAGGTTTACATTATTTCTAGCCTTTGTTCTTCTGTTTCCCTTTTCCCACTGGAGGGAAGGAAACTACCACTTATTAGGCTCCCGTCAACCTGTCAGACACTATGCTCTTCATACACATTTGCCTTTCATAAGGGCATAAACTAATGACACTGAGGATCAGAAAAGTTTATTTGCCTACGATGTCTTGTAAGCTGACCAAAGAAATAATTTAGCCCCCAAGAGTACCTTTTAAGATGATAGAGGCTTAGCCAAGTAAATAGAAGAAGTTGAAGGAGGTTGAGGAGGAGAAAAAGACAATGAGGAGTAGAAGGAAGTCAACCAAGAAGCTGATAGTGATTCTCTCTAGGTAATGGGCTTACGGGTGGATTTACACACACGCGTGCACACACACACACACGCACATATTTATTTTCTTATTTATTGCCCATATTTATTTTCTTATTTCTTAAATTTTAAAATAGATATGTATTTTGAGGGAAAAATATTTTATATAATGTCCAAACTGGAGACACCATTACCTTTGTAAACAAGATGAGTACTAATTTTTAAATCATATAGAAACCTTCTGGTGGTATTTACTCATGTGTTCATTCTAGCAGGTTGAATTTTTTCAAAAATAAGCAACACTCATAAGTTAGTTGGACCATTATTAATCACGATTTGGACAAGAAGCAAGGCTGCACTAAGATCAGTCCTTTATGCTATTTGATATTTTAACTGTACCAAAAATAAAGGTGCTTTTCAAATTTCAACTAAAGTAAGTATGCTTTTGTAGAAAGTCTCTTGAGATAAAATTGTGGCAAGCTGGCGAAAAGATAGGCTATTTTTTAGTGAGCCTCATCATGATTTCACATTTCTTAGTTGATTGGAAAATTGGCTCAATTATACTTTTATTATTTAACAGAAGAAATGAATAGACATAGAATTCAAGGTCTCAGTTATACCTAGCTGTCAGATTATCAAAACATGACAAAGCAAAAGAAGACAATATTTATTTTGCCTGAGAACTCTGTAACCATTGTTTTTGTTATACAGAGAAATTTGGAGGTAAAATAATTATTTCTTGATAATCTCCTGGGTTTTGGAGAATAATTTTGAATACTTATAGTAAAGAAATTGCTCTTCGTATTAATTTCTACTTAGTTTTTTCTTAGTGTAAAAAGTAGATATGTTGCAACATGGTGAATTACAGATTATTTGTCAAACAAAGGATAAGTATATTATAAATTATGGGAGCCTACACTCATAAAGTGTCAAGCATGGGAAGTGATATGGTCAGAGCTTGTAAAACCAGGAAAAGAATGTAAAGAACATGGACTTATGTTTCAGATTTCAGAACACTAGTATCCCTTGGAATTTGAAACAAAAAGAGTAGGAAAAATTACAAGGAAATACCATTTTGTATCATTGGCTAAAAAATAAGCCATTCTACTCTAAGTGCAGCATATATTTCAAACTTAGTTGAGATAAAAAAGCAAAATAACCTCTGTGTGGAAGGTTAGGAAAGGGTTGAGGTAGATATAATGATATCAAATAAAATGTGTTGGGCATACATGTACCAGAAACTGGATTAAGAACTTTACGTAGATTATCTAATTTAATTCTCACAATAACACTTTAGACATGTATTATGTTTATCTTTATCTTTATTGTAAAGACAGGCATTAGAGGCTTAGAGATTTGGTCACTTACTTAAGGTCTTCCCACAGTTAAGCACAGAAAATAAGACTGAAACTCACGTTGATCTGTCTCTAGAGCCAGATCTTACCCTTTCTGCTACAGTTTACCAGCTATACCACTGATGTTGTAAACAGTGATGAGAAGGAATAGAGGCCAGGCCCAGGTGTACCCAGACTGCTATATAAGGCCAAATGTGAAATTATTTGCCTTAAGTTGCATTTTGCCTTACATTTCTATTACTCAGTTAATTATCACACAGACTCAAATGACATCAACATGAATTGCTATTTAAAGATC